CAACCTCGGTGAGCTGGTTCTTTGTGATCAGGACAATCCCGCCTTTTGCACCTGTGAGTTGATGACGATGAACCTGAGGGACCACAGACTTGTCAGCCAGGCGAAAAGGATGGTCACTGTCAAGACGCAAATCTTCCCACTTTGCCTGGGTAGAAGATGACCTCTTGGCCCATGGGTCTCGAACTTGAAGGAGATCAATCGCAGGGTCAACTTGCATTGCGACAGGTTGAGAGGGTTGCGATGGTGCAGAGGCACCACCCGTTGAATCTGCCCCTGAACATGTCATGCAGAAACCAGATAGTGGCATCTTGGGCAAAAGCCTGCAGCCCAGGAATGGTAGATGTCACCCATAGTTCATTCGCTTGTACTATTGCCTCCTGCAAGCGAGGGTCATCCATGGATGCAGCCATACATTGTGTCACTGCAATGCCAGGACATGGTAGGGAGATCTCAAGCTTGTTGAACAGCTCCTGCAGAAGAGTCCATCCACATAATCCCAACTGGGTGTCACACGATAAGTGAATGAGCTGAAATTCCTCCTCACCAAAGTTGATCAAGATGCGGAGTTGGTCAGTGAGACAATGCAGATCATGTGCAAAGTCATGTGGCGCAAGCACCCAAACAACAATCGAGTCCTGACGTCGATGAAATTCATAAGAGATCCAATGTTGATCATACAAGACCAATGTGATGGCTCTTCGATGGAAGCGGCAGTCATCACTGTACCCACTGAAGGTACACAAAGTCCTCTGCAGTGAGTTCCACATAACTGGGGCTGTGAAGGCGATGTCTGGGAGTGCATTCCGCAGATGCTGCAGTGTACAATCTGCAACATCGCTGCCAAGCCAGCCTGGAAAGCGATGAAACTCATCAACTCGGCGGTTTTGGAATTCTCGCAGGAACTTGTTGTATTCTTCAAAGTAGAGGATCCTGCCAGGGCACTGAAGAGCAGGGCCTCGCGGAAGGTCAACAATGAGCGTGTGATCAACAACCGGAGCAGCATCATTTTCAGCAAGTGCCATGTGGTAGAAACATCCAAGGCGGATCTGATGTGCAAAGTGCCAAAGCTCCGGTTTCGCCTCAACAGCAAGCCAGTCTTCAACTGAGCTGGCAAGGACATCATGGACCAAGGTGTACTTCCATTCTACAAGATCCTCAAGGTCCTCCTCATAGGAATGGAGCTGATCATGTTGACCCAGTTTCTCATACCAGCGAAAGATCAAAGCCCAACCGCACATGTTGAAAGGCTGAGTAAAGGCATGAACGAAACTCTGAATCTTCCTCCCTGTAGTGTCAAGTCGGCGAGCAAGGATTTGTGTGAGTCGATGAGCTTTGGGGCTATCAATGCCAAGGAAAGTGATCAAGACATCATCCCCACAGCGTGTGATTTCACAACCAGCCCAGTGCGAGCCAATCAAGATGGCCAACCATGAAGTGCTGTCCGGAGGAATGTTTGGCAGCATGAAAGTCGTTTCATCAAGGTCAGCATCGTGACCATCCCATTGCAGAAGAGCGAAGGACCTGCCAGAGCCTCCACGAGCGTCTAGGAGCCATCGCATTGCATAGATGAGCTCATCAGATGCACACCATCCATTGGTATTGATGGCAAATTCACAACGTTCAGAGAAATTCGCTCCAGCTCGAAGATGCCAGGTGACCTGAGTCTTGTCAGGATGACCACCAGCAAAGACTCGCTGAGTGTTCTCAACCCTCCGAAGGAGAGGGTCTTGGTGAACAACCGTGAGGACATCTCCAGTTCGGCATTCATGAACCTGGTTTCCATCAAAGGTCATGCCATTGATTCGTTGAATCACAAAGATCTGACCATTTCGATGAATAGTTGTGGCAGGTGTGATATAGCCTTCAACGTCAATGATCTGGTAGTCAATGATGTTGGAGAGGTTCTCGATAATCACACTGCATTGGCGAAGGTCAGGACTTTGAAGCAACCACCATTCATGATCAGGAAGGCGAACAGAGCGACCATTCATGCATCGAAAAGACCACTGTGCAAATCCAAAACGATGCAAGGTGGCATGGATCTCCTCAACTCCGGCATTTGAGTTCCTGGTTGTGACAAAGACCACCTGCGGATCCACACAACAAAGGACAATAGGAGTGGAGAACTCATCACCGCTCAGAAGACCCTCAGAGGTTGCAGCTTCAAAGAATCGAATCATGGCCATGAAACTGTCCTTGGTGATTTCCAGCTCAAATGACTGCGAGGGGATCTGAATACTTTCCACCTGAGGTACAGGAACAAATGGACACGTTGGGGTGATGATAGGATCACTCTCTTGATGTCTCAGCTCTTCGAAGTGCAACACTGCGACCCGGCTGGCCGCTGCACAGACATCCCATGAACTTGAGATCGCAATGAGGTCTTGCATCAAATCAGTGGCTGATGCAACCACCAAGCCAGTCCGAAGGGTGAGCTGCCCAAGCACATGCGGTTCGAAATGCGCAAAGCTGGCTAACAGCTGGGCAACCGTCCAGGTCTCTGAACAGGAGCCTGCAATCAGATGGTGGCCATCCTCTTGCTGCAAAGCATACTTCACTGGATGCATGGACACCGGCGCTGAATGGAAGGGAGTTCTTTCCCAAAACAACTTGGCATCAACAAGCGAAATGAAACAACCTTCCCTCACGATGATAGTATTGTTTGCAGTGAGACGTTTGTGCCAAATCCTTTCCACGAATTGCTCAGCATCAATGGACACTCGATTGATTGCCTGGAGCCCTACGAGAATGGCAGTGGCGGCTTGCGGGACCGACACAGCGTTGCCCAACCCATGAAACGCTTCGAACGGATCCGAAGGCAACGAAATGCGATTGGTGCCTCCTAACAACGCAACGATCCTAGCCGGGTCGATGAAAGCAAACGAACCCTGGTGCTCCTCCAAACAAGCAAACAAACCCCTATTGACAATGTGGTCAGGGTCCAATTCATGTTGCTTACCATACATGGCACAAAAGGTGGGAAGCGGTTCATGCAATGTGGCGGCTCTCTGTGCAAGGACCTGCTCCTGAGAACGGTCAGACATACACCTGGCCTTCTTCGAGGGAGGCAACAGGTGATGTGCTCCATAGATGTTCTTGAGGTCATCAGTCAGGCGGAGGGCATCGCGAAATTCCTGAGGCAGACAGAATTGATACATGGGACTGTGCCATGAGACCCTTGGCAAAGCTTGGAGCACATATACCTGCCGATTGGTGTCACACGAGTGGTCAGCACGAATCCAAGCCGAGAACCACCGATCTCTGTGGTTATCCGAGAGGCGATGGAATTGGAGGTTCTGTTGCCAGACTCGTCTATAGCCTCCTAACTTGAGCAAATGTGAGATCACACCGAAATGCTGGTGATGAATAATTTCATCAGCACACTCGAACAATTGGATGTTCGGCCTGAGGACAAAGACTATAACCAATGCTTCAACGAAAGCGAATCCGGCATCTGAGTTGAGTCCCTTCGACTTCCCAGCTTTGCTCCAAGAAACGCACGGTGGCGAAGCAGTACCAATCGAGTTCGTTCGAAAATCGACCTGATGGATCAACGAGGTGTCACTTACCGAAGTGCAGACTCCTATGTGCCCACTCGGATTCCACGTTTGATTCGGCGGGGATTTGCCAAGATGATGCGGTTTGCCAACCTGGTGGGACCATAGCCCCATCGTGACAGGGTCACTATCAACACACACCTGTTGCCCCAAAGGCGGAAAGGAAACATCGCGGAATATGGCTTCCATGGCCTGAGACCAACCATTGAATGACCCAGCAAAAAGGTGAAAAGAATTCACCGGGATGCTCCAATCCCACTCTGCAACAGGGACCACACAGGCATTCGCCTCAAAGTGGAAAACATCTTCACTCTCTGACTCAATCTTGCCAAAAAGGGTGATGCAGTCACCCTCACACATGTTGTGAACTCTCGCTGAAAGGAGAGGCACATGGAATTCCCACGGAGCATGCGGCTTCACCACAAATCCCAAACCTGGTTGGAAAAAATGCGGACATAGCCTCACGATATCACCCTCAGTCGACATGACACTCCCTTGAAGCAAGCACTTGTTGGAAAATCTGATCATGAAACCAGGTGTCCCCAAAGCACCAGCAACATCCAAAAGCTTGGATTTCCACGGGTCCTCAATCTTTTTGGAAATCATCGACATCAATCGAACCTGAAAATCATCACCATGGCCTGTCGATACCACCGGTAGACTCATCGCCACGCAGACCGAGATGCGGCCCGGGTGCAAGGCCACTTAGTGGACACCACCCCCCGATCTTGAGATCAGGCCAGTGGCCCTAGGTGTCTCGTGCACCTTCAGCTCCACGGCCTTGAGCCTAGAGAGCTGGGAGTCTATTCTGTTCATTTTCGATGGGAAACACCAGGATGTCCCAGTATTGACCCATCCTCATATTGTTGTTGGGTGTGTGGGGGCCGGCGGAATGTTTTTTTCGGCCCATGGCCAGCCACGGTGGACAAGCCCCTGTTTGAGGCACCCCAGATAAACAGCTGTACTATCTCAAGAACACTGAGACAGGATGAGACAGGAGTTTTGAGGGGGTATACATGAAAGGTAACCAGATGTTCTTCAGCGCCAGCAATGGCATCGAACCATATATTTGGGTTTCGACACAAACAAATGGTTGTGTATTGGAGTAGGACGACCCCTGTTCAGGTGTCGGTTTGATTGTTCTCGTGGTAGTATCCGTTTTCCGCACCCAAATGACAGCATATGGGGTAGTGCAATCACCAAGTCATGCACTCGCTCCTATCTTGGGTGTTTACAAAGCTGTGACATATTTGACAAAACCTGACTAAATCTATGCCTTGAGTCCCCCGTGGTTCCTTTAGCCTGGGGCTAGGAGAGGGGGGGCACTCTGTCCACTCATATGATGTCGGACCGATCCAACATGCTGTTGCATTGCTTTTCGGAAGAATACGTGAATACGTATGAATAGATGTGAGGACACCCGTCGGACATTCTGTTTGAAGAATGGGCCATGATGGTACAAAAGCAGGATACATCCACTGCTGTTTGAACCAGTGTAGGCTGGTGTAAACAACAGGAAACACCTTTTCAAGAGGAACTAAGCAGAAGATCCCTTTGACAAAGAAAGATAAGAAAGAATTCACGCTCCGAGTGAGAACTAAGGTTCAGAGAGCCTTCTGAGCCACTCGGAGGTCAATGTGGGAGCTGTAAATGGTTTCCTTTGTGTGGTCAATTTGGTTGCGAGTCCGTGGTGGTGCCAGTGTTTTTGGACGCTGATGATGCTGCTGCTTTTGGACGAGAGACCCTCAAAACTCGCAGATTCGTGCGGTTTTGGGCGCCATTCAAGACGCTTATATAGTGATTAACTTATATCCCTGAGAGTCCAACGACCTCCTTTTACCCCGAACTGGTAGTGGTGGAAGGATTGACTACCAGGTGGAAGAGTTCATGAGTCAAGTCACGTCAGTTCTGGGACTAAGTCTGCACGGCTTTTATAATGACCCCAAGTCTGCACGTTCTCAGAGTGCTCTTCCTCAGGTAAGTATGACCCCAATTTGGCGGGTCACTTCGCTGCACAGGGCTTTGAACCTGGCGTCCTTTGCCTCAGGCGACGCATATCTCTCTCCGGGATGGGTTGGTTTCACATGTGATTTGCAGTTTTTGAAGCAACAACATGTTCCAAACAGAAATCCCTAAGAATCCTGGCCCTCAAACAGATAGGGTTTTGAGGGCCCAGACCCCTGCTATGGAGGGCCCGACCCCTGCCATGGAGAGCCCAAGGATTCTTAGGGATTGATCATTGCAGAGTGACACATCCAAAACACGTGAGATATCACTATATAACGTGCTACCACATGCTCCGGGGCCCCCCAAAAGTGTGGAAGCCGGACCCGGGACTGGGCGGCATTCGAGTGCCTCTCGTGGACTCGTGGACGTTTTTTGCGGGGCACACCGTGGACGTGATGCAGAGCGGCCAGAGCTCCGAACCATGTGATGTGGAGCTTTCGGAGTCTAGACCATTTGGTAAAGGATGTGACAGGCCTAATCCACTATGAGCGGTGTGTCAATTGCTTCGAACACTCCACGGCACCCAAATGGGCATTTTTCCAAAACATTTGTGCACCGACAGCCGTTTTGGTCAAACGGACAAATACGGCTGGTTTAATGTCCATATGGGAAATTCATGGAAATTCTGTTTAAGCACGACCTTTCACACAAGAAACATGCTCATAGGCCCTAGGCCTTTCCAGGCTGATAGACACTCCTTTCCTACTCAGAAACCCCCATGCACCGAACCCTCCACAGTCGTCCAGGACCTCACCCGGCGCACGGCACTCGCCGGTCGGAGGTGGTTCACGCTGCTCTTCGCGGCGGAGTTCACCGGAGCGTCCGAGCCGCTGCTGCGCTACTGGGACGCCTTCCTGGCCGAGGAGGAGCGCTTCGAGTTGCCGGGGTACCTGCGCCACGGCCGGAAGCGCGGCGCGAAAGCAGCGCGCTTCCGGAACGCCGGTCGGGGTGGGGAAATCGTTTCGGGAACAACACCTGGTCGGACGGTCTTCGGGTGTGTCAAAAAGCGGGGTCATGCCGGTTTTCCCTGGCGGGCGCCTGGCAGGTGGGGCGCCTGGCAGCTTGTGGTGTGGATGTAGCGATTCCGATGGTCGAACCGCGATTCGATTCCGCGCCCATCGTTGGTCCTCCGCTGTCCTCGGCGAGCACTGTGGGCCACGGTGGGCACGGTGCTCTCCGGTGAGGTGCGTGGCGCTGCTGATGGAGCATCGGGATGAGCTGCTGGAGTGTCGAAATGTCGTGGAGCTGGCTGAGGTCGTCCAAGAACTGCCTCGCCCCTTAAGCTCCACGTGGCGAGAGAGGAGGGAGAAACATTTGAGAAAACGATGAGAAAGGCGAAATTGGATGAACGTAACTTGCTGGGTTGTTGTACTATAGTGTGAGATTCATGACACATGACCCTGTATACCACACTGTATACCACGTAGGTCGGACCAGCTGCGATATCCCGCTGAGAGTTGCCACAAAAATTGAACGAAACATTGCTTCGACCATCCCTGCATGAACTGCTCAGGATGTGCTCTTTGTTTGCTGCTCCCAAGGACCATACCTTTGATGTCTTAGTGGAACAAGTATCTTACCACAGACTATGGACTGCAAAGGCAGTCCATGTTCTGTTCCCATGATTTTTGGTGAAGGCTTGTCAACCGACATGTCGTCTTTCGATATCTTTTTATACTCTACTGTACTTGTATTGTTGTTCTTTCATTTTGCAATCCCATCATTCCAAAACGATCGTTCGGAGAAAGGATCAACATCGGATCGTTCGTTAGGGAATCACAATCCCAAACATCGGTTCCAACTCTCCAAACAATCGCGATCAACACAGCTCCAGAATACCCCGGTTTATAGAGTCATTACTCTAAAACGACCTTAACATCCACAAAGGACATTCGTGGACGCATTCTATAGTGCCGGTACGCTGGAGAAATGAGGCTAAACCCGGAACATTGCAGTTTGTAGGGGTCCTTTTCAAAAAGGTCATCCTTGATCAGCCTTGATCATAGAAGAAAAGACATTTGGAATGCCATTTTATAGAGAAGCTCATTTTATGCTGATACATGTAAGAACCAACAGCATGACAGGATAGCAGGCACTCATTAATACATTTAAATACCATTAAATACCACTATAACCACATGTAAGTGCATATCGATTCTTTTCCAGTCTCCCTTTGTCTCCTTTGTCCCATCTTCGGCTTGGGGATTCCGGAGATGACTCGTTCCACTAATCTCCACAGCGCAAAGGGCTAACAGTTCCTTAAACACACAAATGAAGAGCACATCGATCTATATATCTATCATGCATCCCTTTACAACCCAAACCCTCCACGTGGCGACATCGGGTACCCTGCCCGAAAACATCGGGTGTCACAGTGACATCCACCAAAGTGACAGTCTCTTCTGTGACATGAATTTAAGGCGCCGTCTCAAACCATCATGGTTTCCTGTTCTGAACAGATTTGGTTTGAGATTTTTCAGGACACTTGAACAGATTGAGGATTTTTAGGGGAAGTTTTGTGAACTTAAGGATATTCAATCAACTTTTAGACAACTAATGATGTTTGAGTAGATTCATGAAGATCATTGCTTTTTATCATTGATTTTTTCAGGAGATTGAAGAAGATTAGGTTTTGTTGACACTGGTGCCACCACTCTTTCCACAATCATGGTCACTTTGGCCAAGACCTTCCCTCCTCTTTTCTTCTGCTTCACAGAACTTGATCTGGCCATTTCACAGGCCCACTTGCCAGATTTTTCGTTGCTTAAGGTTGGTCACCTCATTTTATGACTTTTTGTGGTGTGATGTTTTATAGTAGAGCCAAGGATGTTGGACACCCCGTTCTACAGAGAGTTCCTAGTTCCTTGTTTTCATCAAATGCTTCGTAAACCTTGGAAAATACTTTGTTCCTGCAGGTATCCTCCAAAAGCATTTGATGCCAACAAGTCCAACTAATCCTTCCAACGATATAATCCGGATCCAATAAATCCAACTTCCCGGGCCATCATCTTCAGGTCGGGCGCCAAATGGGGAAGCCACGGGCACCTCGGGCAGCGACAGAAACGGGGTCTGAGCAGGTCCGCCTACCCAGGAACAGTTGAGAACCTTTAATCTTTTTCGAGGATTTGTTTTTAGATGTTTCCCCACTGAAGGGCTCGAGCCGGACAAGCTAGTGACCTAAACATTGTTTCGATTTCAGATCGAGCATTGCACATACAAGCAGTTTTTTGTAAAGGGTGCCTGCGTTTTTGTTTTGAGTGCCAGGGCCCAAGCTAGTCTTGTTGTTTGGCAGACATTGTTGCTTCTCTTGTTGTTAGTTGTTTTTTGTTGACTGTTTGGTTTGTTTGTTGTTTTTTTTATTAGCCCAAACAGTGTGGGCACACTGAGGGGTTCTTACGGTAGTGGAAAAGCAGCTGATGCTTAGATCGCTGAAGCGCGCGGGCGTGACCGGCTAATTCGCTGCTATTTACAGTACATTCATGCCTCTCGACATCGTCAATGTGCATCTCGACTGCGCAGGCTCGCAAAATCTGAGGGCCCGCGACGGGTGCTTCTAGCGACTGCGCTCTCGTTGTGGTGCCGCGCGCATTTTCGCACATGGTGGTCACTTTTCGTGGCAGGCGCAAGGGAAACCTGGTGGTTTGGTGCTCCAAAGTCGACTTTTCGTGACAGGTGCAAGGGATCGGAGGTGTTTTACTTCGAAGTGCACTTTTCGTGGCAGGCGCAGCACTTTGGACATGGTGATGATCGTCGAGGAGCTCAGATTTCTTGAGCAATCCCCACCCGCCAAATCGGTGTTGATCTGGCACCGACTTGGGGCCAGCATTTCTTGCATCATGGCCTTCCCTGGCCAAGCCAAATAGAAAATTACTAGCCTGGGACTCCGTTTTGGGGGCGAAGGGATCTATTGGGGGACGCCGTAATTGAAATTATATGTGTGTTCCTTTGCCCCGAAGACGATGCCCCAAACCAACTGGAAAAGTGGCACTGCTGGCCAAACAAAGTGGAGAATTGCCAACTGGCAGCCGGCAGCGGTTGGAAATGTTGAAGCAGGCAGGCAAGGAAACAAGTGAAGGAAGCACACGCAACAAACTGAAACACAAATTCAGAAAAACAAGCAAAAACTAACAAACCAAACAGCTACCAATAACAAAAAACAACAAACAACAACAGAAACAACAATGTCTGCCAAACAACAAAACTAGCTTGAGCCCTGGCACCCAAAACAAAAACGCAGGCACCCTTTACAAAAAACTGCTTATACCCAGACTCACTGGGATTTCAGACTCCCGGGCTTTTCACCCCTTCCGACGAAGTCCAGACATCCCGTCGCGTCTCGTGGACGAACATCACGAGACGACGAGCGTCACCGTCCTGGTCCCAGACTCCGGTCGCAACGCGGCGTTTCGCGTCTCGTGTGAAAAAGAGAGAGGACGGAGACGTGACTTCCGGGGTGAGGGCAGAGCAACAACAAGGACAACAACACCAGCAGCAACAACAGCAACAGCAAATGTAATATATGTAATTACGGTATGTATGATAGACAGATCATCACAGGTAGACAAGCAGGCAGGCAGACAGATAGATGGATGATCAAAACAATATAAAACAACCAAATGACACTCCACAAGATGATCCTTAAACTTGTCCGTAGAACAGTCTACTCTCAATGAATGTGCTTCAACCATCAAACGTTCTTTACAGAGATGAGATGAGTGAACACTTAGTTGATCGGAGATGCACATTTAAGTACAAGGTACTTGACCTGATGCGGCATGCGCCGTAAAGACGTTTACAGTACTCCATCTACAATGTTTCAGTACACGAGTGGTATTGTATTCGCTATTGGCTATTGGGTTGCGTTTTTTTCTCCCCAAGATGCACTTGAGTCCTACACGTGCCTCTATAACTGTTTCAACCCAGTCATGTTTTTTTTTTTTTTTTTAAATTCTCTTAAATACCTGGGACATGTGGGCTGCGGGGGACCACTGTGTTAGGTTATATATATATAGAGTTTGGGATGCACAAGGTAGACAACCCCTATCAGGTATATCGGTATATCCGATGTTGAATGTCTCTTGTAGTTCTCCAACTGATTTATATGATTGTAGGCATGACAGTCCAAACGGTCTTCCAGGATGTGGCCAGCGGATGCAATGCTTTCATTTTGATATCCTGGCCGCAGGCAAAACATGGATAAACCATTTGCAGTCTTCACAGTCACCTTCATCCAGCTGATGGCACCGGATCAATTGACATCTGGCCGTACAAAGCGGAACTTCGATTGGATTCGCAAGCAGTTTAAGGACACTCAGGCTTTTCGAGGCGACAGATTATCTGATTATCTAAAAGTTGATGATGGTATATGATGGTTAGTTATGATGTTTGTTTCATTATGTTTCATTGCATTCCCTGAACCCCAGTGCAGTTCAACTCAGATGTTTTCACACGCAGTCGAGGCAGCTCAGTACTACGCAGAGCTTTGGCCCTGCGCTGCTTCCAGCGCCGCAGCGCGTTGGGGTCAACGCCGACCTTTCCAGCACCGAGCACAGCAGAGCTGGTGACAGGCAGAGTGGGTTTGCACTGTTCATTCATGTGTTCGCGCATATGCTGCTCTGCAGTTAAGACCCAGAGTACGAAGTGATGCACAGCATCATGGACTGGGCCAGACACTCCACAAAATCGGAACTGATGGCCTACATTGACCCCTGAAATCAACGCAGGTAAATACCCCGAGTATGGTAGGACTTCTGCCATCCACGGAAAGCTTCGTCTCTGTGGGAGAAAAAAAGACCCTTCTTCGACTCGGTTTGCTCGGCTCGCTCGGCTCGAGAGTCGAACTCGACTGGGCTCGGACGGGACCTGCGGAACGTCAGGTGTTGCAAAGACCTTCTTCACAGGGATTTTCTCGAACTTCTGAAGACGTCCGCTGAAGACTTCGAGGCGAGGCCCTCGGCGATCGAGTCGTAGAGGAGCAGAGATGAAGATGATGAAGTGAGTGAGTGAAGTAGAGTACCGTGTATTTTTTCCCTCAAAGAAAAGGTACGAACACAGGCGTGCGCACAGCCGTGCTGCACGCCCGTGCACCTGTTGAGACCTCAATCGTGGGCAGAATCTTTGGGTCTGAAGAGTCAGACTTCAATTCAGGCTCTTTGGATCGGCTCCTGCTGAGCCAAAAGCATTCCATTTCGTGGTGAAGAATTTTGTCGTCAGAGCATGTTGTTTCCAGTTCACCAAACTTTCACGCTCTTTTGCTCGTGGCGTTTTCATCATACGCATCTCCTTTCGCCCGCCAAATGCGCCGGGCCGAGGCATTTCGCCGGTCCACCAGAGCTCGTCCAAAGCGACCCGAGCGATTCGCCGGAGAAGGGCGAAAAGAAGAGATGTGCCACCGGCGAGAAAAGATGAGAGATTCGACCGCGTGGAAGATTGGTGGTTATTCGAGTGAGACCAAGGCGATGACAGCGGGAGATGGGAAGACCAGTTTGTCTCATATCATCAAAGTTCTGAATCTTTCCGGCCGCACCTCCGCTCCAGGACGGCTGCGCGATCTTCGCGCGTGCGCGTGTGGCGGTGGCCGACAGCCACTCGTTCCGTGTGAGGGACGTCGTGGAGAGGCGGGGGGTTCGATCGATCGATGAAAGAAAACGTGTTTGACTGGAGCTTCGTTCGATCGGGTGGGGACCTGGAGTGTCCGTATCCGATTGGGATCGGATCCGACTCTTGGCATATTTTGCACTACAGGTGTTGCACATAAGTTGCACCAAAGTCGACATGTTCGGGAGTCGACATGAGTCTGGGCGGCGCGAATGTTCCGCAAGGCCAGCTAGATCAGCTAGCAGGTGGGGTGAGGTCAGACCCCGGAGCGAGGGCCACTTTGGCCGAACGGGGCAGCCACTAGTCAACATGGACTCTGGGTTTGCCGGACTAGCAGCAGCTTGTGGTGCGAAACTCATTATTCCCTTCCGTTTTTCAATTGCAGTTGTCATCCACCGTGGGTCCATCGGGGGGAGAACGCAACTAGGTACAAGCACCGGCCAGTAGACAGCTTGTCAACAGTTGAAACCTGCAGGTACGTTTGACTGCACGAATCCCCGGCCTGTGAAAGTCCCCTTGGAGACATGGGTGGAGACACACGCACACACACACACACCAAACCTGCAACCCGAAAGACACCCCAAACGCCGGTCGTGATCCACGGTGGATCCCAAGCAAACCATCCAGGCATTTCCCAGCGGCGCTGGAGCTGCGCCGCACAGCAGGGCTGTCCGCGGCCGCTCGGCGGGCTTCATGCCAGCTTTCAGCTTCCTGAAATCCATGGTCTTTGGATATCTTTGGAACTGTTCGGCCCATTCCAAGAGAGGCTCGACCCCGAAAAGGACCCTACTACCCCTGGGTACTCAACTGGGATAGTTGAACTAGAGTCTAAAAAGGGTGGTTCAACCTTTGTTGTGTTTTTGGATCCAGTAGTTCAACCTCTGGTTTGGTCACTGGGGGTACCGGGATAGTCATTCTATAGGGTGCTTCAACCTCTTTCCAAACGAAACAGCACCGGTGGTGAACTCCGGCTCACCGGCCTTCTCGTCGGATTCCGGCCTAGCGACACGGCGAATCCTGCGGCCTGCGCGGGAGGATCTGTTCGGGCCGGTACCGCTTGAAAGGATGGAGGGAGTAAAGAATCATGGTTTCCAGTGGAGGGAGGGAGTGAGTGAGTGAGTGAAAACCCCCTGTTTGGTATTCGGAACAAGAGGTTTCTCCGAAATTCGCCATGCCATCCACTTCCATGATGATTTCAGGCAACGTAGATCCTTCGCACATCGTATGCTACGCTGACTACACTTTCCTTCTGTTGACCATCGGTACGTTGCATGGCATGGAAGGCATCGATGATCTCTTGAAGTGAACAGTGGGGACCACTGTGAGTTAGAGTGCAAGGCGGGCCACTGCCCACAAGGACATCAGTGACCAGTGCTGCGACCCAATTCGGCCGCCCCCTCGAAGCCCCCGACTGCAGCGGGGCGAAACGAAAGCTGCTTAGGCAGTCGGTTAGTCCGGTTAGTCGACCAGGCCTTTGAAGGGACATCCTCACACCTTTTTGGGTTTAAACAGCTCATTGACCAGCTTCAGTTCATGACCAGCGGAGTCTCATGGACGGTCGATCTTAGCATCGAAAAAGGACACCTGAACACCGGTAGACCTGAACACGGAACACGTCGACGCTCCTTGGACGTTTTCAACGGCCGTAACATGTGCGGGAGCCTGCCGAGGCCTTGTGGCGGGAGCTGCATGAGAAGCTCACCTTGGCTGTGGCCACTGGGCCAGCTGATTTTGGAACCGCTGCCTGTTCTTTTGACCTAACTTTGAAGAATACACGACCAAATTATGCATTGTACAGAATTGTACATGCATATATATTACAATAAATATGTATCTATCGATTTATCTATGTAGGAATGTGGGTATACATATGTATGGGGGATGCATGTTTATGAGTTATAAGGGTCATATAGGGTCATTGTGTGGGGTTGGAGCGAGTCTCCACTTGCGAAGTCACCGACCTTTTTCAACCTCTCGATGTGGCCGATGTGGGGTTGGACATCTTCAAAACCTTGGGATGTGCATCTTCCTCCTTCCTTTTTTCCGCGTGAGGATCTCTTCGGCAGGCTTTTGGTCCTTCCACATTCCCCCCCAAACACAAGCATGTTTTTAGGAATGCATTCCTACTCACTGACATGGAAGTGGAACGCCCTTGGAAAACGAAAAGGATAACCGTCTTCCAAGGAGCCATAGACTCCACTTCCATGGAGTCTTGAGGTGACTCTAGCTATACAACTCGCTTCTTCATAGGAACACTGACGGTTCGCTGCCGGGTCAAGCGTTCTCACGTGTGCCGGGCACTCATTTCTGGGACAATGTAGAACTGCGAAAAGGAACCGTCATCAACGTTAAGACATGTTAAGGCACTTATCACCATCCTAACTCCGAGCCCCCTCTTCTTTTTGAGTCTTGACGCCAAAACCAAAGGTTTTGGGATGGACCTATTCCAGACCTAGCAGCCCACAAACAATTACTTTGCACTGTGACTGTGACGCATCTCACTTCCATACAGTACGTGGCTCACTCTTTGCCTGAATGCTGATGTTGTTTTTGATTTCAATGAACAAGCCAAGCCCTTGACGATCAGTCAAGCCTTCATCGTTTGGTGGTCGTGAGAATGTGGTTCACTTTCCGAACTCACGACACGCTTGGAGGCGAAAGCACAGCACCTAAAAGTTCGATTGTTGAAAGCACGCACTGGCACTGTTTTTTGGGCTCAAACAGGGTGACGGCTTTGATGTTGATGGGGTTGACACCCTCGAAAACAATACGGGTGCTAGTACGGCACGGTATTTAACAGTGTTTTCTAAAGGTTTTGAGCTAGTGTGTGCTCTCCCAAGCACACCCGCTCTTTGTTCAAATCGATGAACCTACTCACTTGAGGCAGTTGACCTTGACTGCGAGGATGGGAGGCCGAAGCGCGCGCTTGCCCGCGCCGGGTGCGGTGACGCCGTGGACGTGGAAGGTCGTGTGGTCGTGTGGTCGGGGGGTTGGAATGGAAGAGGATCACTCCCTGTTTTTATTTTTCCGGTGATTTGTTGTTTTTCCCGAACTGACTGCGTCCATCCCCAAGCCTGGATAACATATGGTTTTACTGGCAGGTTACCGCAGGTTCCTAGAATTTCCAGTCACCTACACCTGGGGAAGAGACCCACATGGAACCTAACATGGCATGGACTCAGTGGGTCTGACGAATTGTCCTCGGCGTGGTTTTGCAGCTTTCCATGGGGCTCTCTTCCAGAGCGTAGAACCTGAGCTGGAGCCCAGACATGTTTTTTTCGTACCAAAATACGAAAAAAGGAGGCCCAATTGGTTTCATGGGCACATCGGATCACAGCAGCATACCTGTTTTTTTTTTTTGATGTGAGGTGGATTTTCCCAGATGGATCCTCTTCTGCGGCAGATGTTACTTCTTCCCCGATGTTGACTGAGATCTACTTCAACTATTCATACGTCGAGGCGGTGAATGGACACCCCAAACTACCAGAAGTAGCTCTCGCACGATTTCCACGAGGTCCCACGCGAAAACCAAGGGAAGATAGATATCCAAAAGCCCATTTAAGAATGAATGCAATACAGTATGATATACTATACATCTTAAGTAACAGACTATCAACAAAACAAATGTATGAAGTTTGGATCGAATTTCAGGGTCTCTCCCGACCCCTCCCGATTTCAGGGATCTCGGACTGCAGATCACCTGAAATTCCCGGACGGGTAAATCATCGCGGGGCCGCGCGGCGTGGTGTGGAAAAACGATGGCAAAAAGCGGATTCACCGGAGTCTATGTGTTTTTCTTCCAGGGAAACTGTTGGGAGCAGAGAGACTACTTCATGGTAGATAGCCCTTGTTGCTGTTGGGCCGGTGATGACATGGAAGGTGAACTGGACAGGTGTATGTTATAGCCCCAGGTCTTCAATCTGTCAACTGACATGAGACGTGGAAAGCGACTAAAGTGACAAACACACAATAAACAACATATATATATCTTCATATCTTCAAGATCAAAGACCTTATTTCTCTAGTTGGTCATACAAAAACTATCTGCTTAAGGAGGTAAAAGACATTAAAATATCGTGGTTTTACTGGGTCAGACTGGACTTGATTGTAAGGGTTTATCTTCAAGATCCAAATATGGATGAAACGGTGGATGAAACTCTGGCGCCGCCGCGCGCACGCACGCACTCCGTGTGGCAGGAAGCTGCGCGTGGCTTGGCCCGGCTCCGGGGCGAAGTGCGCTCCACGTGAGACGTCTGGAGAGTTGGCTAGCAAACATCTCCCTTACGGGGCTGGATTTTTCAGGGAACTCTACAAGAGCTAAGGGGTATGCAAATTCGTAGGTGGATATTTTGATGATTTTTTTCATGGTCGCCAGAAACCCTTTGGTCGCGAAAAGACCAACAGGTTTTTTGGACGGTGTCCTGACTCAACTCAGGTGTTTGAAGGAAACTGTACGACGAGCACACAAACCATCTGACCTCTAAGTGGAAGTGAGTTAAACCTTAAATGTATAAAAGCCATCACTGGGCCGAACCTCGCAGACTAGGCGAACTTGGTACACTCACCACTCACACACCTTTTGAACGCAGACACCACGCGAGTGGTGAGTTCCCCGGAAGCGAGAGACACGGCGGCGATCGGCGATCAGACTGGCGGCTTGAGGTGGCGACGAGTCATCTCTACTGGGATCCACGCTTCCCGGACTTGAAGCTTTTACAGGCGCGCCTTTGCGAGGCGCGCGCGAGCTCCATGGGTTGTTTTTTTGGTGGGGTCAGCTGGTGCGACAGGGAGCGGTAGATTTATGAGACTGGGGGGGATTCTGCTTTCGAAAAGATTCTGGGAGCATTTTGCTTGTTGATGGATGTCAAACAAAAGATGCAGCGGCGTGCAGCGCCACGTCTTTGTCCGCCCAGCCCACCATGCTTCGGCCCGCCTCCGCCTCCGCCTTCCCTCCGCCTTCTCGCTCCGAGGCCTTTCTTCTGGACCAAGAATTGTCCGACTTCACGGGCGGACTGATTCTGGCCGGTGATCTCAATAGCCCCGCGGACAGGTGAACAGGGGTGGTGGCGAGGTGAAAAGGGGCTGGGAACCGCGCCGGCATGGCCGGGCATGGAGGTGAGGTTGTGGTTCAGGCCAAGATGGGGCAAAAAGACATGTTAGTTGAAAGAATTGGACACCCTGCATGCTGGAAGGATGGTGGCGATGGTGGTGTTAAGCTAACAGGGCTTTTCGTTTGATAGCGATGCTTGAAGCCAGGGCGGGAAGAACCACTGTGAAGCAGGCACCAGCACCAGTGATAACTCTTTGAAATGCATCATATGAATCATATCTGCACATCTTCACTACTTTAAGATCTTTAAGGTGGCCCAAGCAAGTTTATTTATCTATTTTTCTCTCTCTCTCTCTCTCTTTTTTGCTCTCTCCATGCAACCATCCAAAGGAAACGCATCCTTTTGAGCCACAGAGAGAGAACCATTGGAACTTCCAGGTCCATCTGTCACTGTTTCTCACAATTTTCATCTCTTTTTTTCAGTAGTAAGTTATCGTGTCCACACCGTTTCCAGCAGTTCATGTTAGTCTCAAAATTTAAGATTTGTTCCCAAGCCCAGATCTTAGGATTGCTCAACCACCACCACACTCCGCCTTCGCTTCCGGTCTCGCCTTATGCAAGAGTATGTGGGTAACATAAGGTAGAATCCGTCGCCCACAGAGCACTTTTCAATAAGAAACATGGGATCAATCTCTCATTTTAGGCCTGCCGGGGTCGGCAAAAAACACCGTATACGCATGGTTTGGCTCCACCTTTGTTCGGTCTTTGGATTGTTTGGCCGTGCCACGGTGGGACGCACGGGCACTCCATTGCCTCGCTGAGGCACTCCATTGCTGGATGGCCGCTCCAGTGGTGAAGGCGTGCTCTCAGGCGTCTACCAGCTGCTCACGCAAGGCGCTCGAGTCCGACCGGAAGAAGCCACGGATGCAGCGACGGATCCGGCGCCGGTCAGGTCAAAAGGGACCCGTTCATTGGGGGTACTCAACTGGGATAGTCTATAAGGTTCTTCAACCTCTGTTGGTGTGTGTGTTTTTGTGCGGAGAGAGTGGGATCATGGAGAGTGACCTGGCGGTCGCGTTAGAGGACCTGTTTTCAGAGGGGCCAATGGATTGGACATGGTGCTGCTGGTTGAGAAAAAAGAAAACCAGGTGATTGTTGGTTCCAAACCACATCAAACCATTGAAGTTTTGACCCCTATCGCCTATAGCATGCTTCCATTCGATCGCTTCACTTCGATCGCAACAACGACGCGCCGGACGCCTCGGTGCCTTTCGACGCCTGGACACGTGGAGGCGACGTGGAGGTGTTGCACCCACATCACCCGGTGCAGATGCGTCCCAAGGTGGGCATTTTGAAGGGTCTCCAACCTCAGGAGCGGAGCGGGGGTGCGGGGGCCGGAGGAACGAGCCGGGGGGCCGGCACCACATGCTCCGCGTCATGTAGGCGAAAGAGATGGAGAAATGGGGAGCAAAAGAATGGCTTGGGCTTATTGGCTTCTTGGGGCGTTTTTGGGTGAGCTTTGTCCATTATGCGGAGGGTCTTCTTACTTATGATTTACGCATTATGGTCTGCCTGGCCCTGTGTGCCTGGAAGAAAAAGGTGAACCGTTGAACACTGCATGGAGGAGGAATGACTCGTTTTGCTGCTTCTGCCTGCTTCAGAGTGTTCGATTCTGACAAGTGGGGTACGATGAAATTGGTCAATGGAAGTTCTTTGATCACAAGGTAGATCAAAGTAGTACTGTTGGAGGACAACAGGAAACTGTGCACACTTCAAACGGACTTCCACTCTGTTAACTGAGGGCTTGGTTCTCACAGGGTTTGTTTCAGGAGTGATCACCTTAGCAGCCCTCGCGTAATCCTCGCATGTTCCCTTTTTCAACTTTAGGCCGAAAGAGTTGTTCCATTCAAGGCATGTAGTGCGACGGGGAATGGAGTAACGCATTTCCTAGCCTTCAAAACTAAACATGTCGTCACTTCCACTGACCTCCTACTAGTGACATCTATATAATTATAGTGGACAATATGTCCAGAAAAGAAGCAGTCCCCCAGTCGCTCTCTCTTTCTCGGCGCGAGCCACAGAGTTCCACGCTGCGATTCAGTGAGATGAGACAATCAGATTCGGAAAACATTTGGGAACATCATTCTGGAAGTGTCTCATCTCGCTGTCATTTGTCTTCCCAAATGAGATTTGGAATTCCTTAATTAAGTCTTCCTTAATCATTCCTAAGGAATGCCCTCCGATCTTCTGGGAGGTCTGTTCACTTAGCTCACGGAATACCCTATAAAGATACATCTGAAAGGAATACCCTCTGATCGTTTGTAAGGTCTATGAGGTGCTTAGTTTGTTGTTTGTCATCTCGCAGCCAGCGCTTGAGAAATGCAACCCCTAGAGGCGCACACTATTGCCCCCCCCGTCTGCAAAGACAAATTTCTTCATCTCAAATTCGTCTAATGCATATAGCGACCCCATCCATATGAGCGCGTCTGCGGGTGAGTAGCCACCGAACACGAGGCCGGAACAGGCGCTTTTGGGACAGGCACTTGAAGCCACAGGAGTGTGGCGAGGTTTTGCACCAGATGGCGTCTCTTTGGTTCTTCGACAAAACCTGACCCTTCGCGTGCCACGTCGCCACGTCGCGTCGTCGCGTCCTCACCAGGACGTACCAGAGTTTCGCATCTCTCCCTACCGCAGCGCTGCGGTGGAAGCACGTGGCCACTGGACCGCATGGGTAACACGTGGCCACGGGTCCGAAGCGTTCCTGGCGATGGTTCTGATGGTGAAAGGACCGAAGAGGTGCGTTGTTTTTGGTTTCTTTGCTTTTGTTTCTACTAGCGATGGCCTCCAACCTAGTAGTGGTGTCCTCCACATGTATACTTTTACTGAATGACTGGAACGGTCAAAGGACTGAAGATGAATCAAGTGCGGTTTCTTGTACTATATGTAAAAGAATCAGCATGCCGATCTCCGGCCTTGGACCTGCCTTGGACCGCAGAAACCTCCAGCAATCTCCGAAAAGTGAGGTGCACCTCGTGAGGTGCCCCTCTTAAATAGAGTCAAGATGAGTCAAGCTACTTCAAGTTTCTACCTACTTCAGTCAACTCCTGATCGTTTCTACTTCAAGTTCAGTGCTTCTACATCAAGGCGACTATTTGCCACTAGCCACCGCCTCAGGTGCTGAGGCAGCGACGAACGCCTCGGCCGACTTCGTGGGATGTTTGGACTACATCCTCTACAAAGGACGACGCAGATCCAAACGACCTTGATGCCGCGACCGAGGAACAAGCCGAGGAACAAACCCTCGAGCCAGCCATGGTCCCTCAAAACGGAGGGATTCGAGATGATGAGATCTCGGACTGTCGCTAATTGGGAGGGTCCACGAGTTAGTAATCTATGATTCAAATCCTACCATATCCTACGTACCATATCCCACCAACCAATATTTGTTCGACACGAGCTGTGTTTTCAACTTCGAGACCAAAGAATTTTGATTTCTGTGCCTTTTGATCGGGTCGTGTGAGTCATGTCCCATTTTCTGAGATACTTTGGAGGGTCAAACGGTGCATGCTGAGATTCAGCCGGTGTCAACGGTATGTTCAAACCCCGGCGGAATTGACGTCTTTGACGACCAAGCTGACGATTCATCGGCCAAGCCAAGCTGTTTGATTGCGATCATTGCACAGAGTGTTGAGCGACCAAGTTCAGTATGTTCAGTTTCTTAATCCAATTTTTCCACCTTCCCAGGAAAAAATGACACGTTTGTTTGTGCCAGGTGAGGTTGAATGCCACTGGTAGGGCTTACTGAGCTATAGGTGACCTCCTGCTGCGCCTCCCAGGACCCCAGCTGCGCCTCGTGGGTGCCACCTGGCCCGATGCCGCCACACTACCGGGTGGAGTGCTGCCCTCCGAGGAGCAGATACGTTCCGTCGCGTGATGTAGGTGGATTTGGGGCGGAAACAAAGGCTAAAGGAAACCAGTTGAAAAAACAACAAAATGACATGACATGTTTTTGAAGCAGAATAATTTGGTTCCCCTTTGTAGCGTGGAAGAACATGAGAAACATGCCTTTTGGAGCATGGGGCTGGGTTCGCACATCGATGTCGCCTTGAGGCTCAGCCAGCTTCGACCAATTCACGGCCGTTTTCCAGAGCGTTTGGCCATCGAAAGAGTGTACCTGTAAAGCGCAGATCTGCGTCTCATTGGAGGTTGAGAGGCTAGGGCCAGGCTGAGTGCAAACCATGGTCAATTTTAGTTACTGAAGGCTTGTTTGGGTGAGTTTTCTGAATTTCTGGGGTTCATGGAAATGCCTGGGGTCCCGCCCTCACGCACCTTCAACGCCTGCTGTCTTACTGCGACAAGCGATTTCGGAGCCAACCGTCACCCGGTCACAGGGGTGATCTCAACCAAATGTCATATATCACCCTTTTCTTCAGTGATGGTCAAGCTTTCCAGGGTGTGGTCAAGCTTGCTCAGTCTGACCACTTCAAGGAATTCTGAAGACCCAGTTGAGCAAAACCAATCTCAGTACTGCTTCGGCTGTCAAACAGTTCCCCAATGAATCCATCAGACTGGAAGATTTGGCCCTCCCATCCATGTTCAGATGCTTTAAGACTTCAATGTACTTCATCTTCCAGTCCCGATGGATGGTTTGGGGAATCAGTTGGACACCGGTCATGAGTCCGAGGATGTTGCGGATGTCGTGCCTAAAAAAAGTGACCAGGAGCAGCCTTCGGACCATTTGCCCCTGCTGGCAGTCTTCGAACTCGGCGACGAGCAAGGGCCAGCGTCAGACGCAGCAAAAAGCCGAGTCTAACGCTTCCGAGAGATCGATGGTGACCATGGTGGGTGGTTTTTCGGAGGTTGGACGGCCAGGGATGCCTATATGCTTTTCTTCAAGGGCACGCAGGGCAGTCCTAGCAATCGATGTGATCTACTGTCAAGCTCATTTGCTGCTACCAAGAAAACGTGACGAACCATACGTCAAACTACGTCAGCTCAGGTAGTAGTTCTTCCTCCTCCACCAGGCCTATAGTAGGTCTCCCAGGTCTCCCTCTCTCTTCCCCCGGACCGACCGGGTCCGACCCGACCGACGACGACCCCGACCGGGCCCGACCCGGATCGTCCCTGGCGCGCTGAGACTCCTGTGGTGGTCTTGTTGATCGTTCAGGCGTGGCCTCGAATCGAGGCTCAGGCGCGGACCGGCCAGTCGTGAGAGGACAGGAACGGATCCGGAACGGAACGGTACCGGGTCCGAAGAGGAGTTTCTAGAATTGTTCTGCTCGGTGGATTGGGAGGTTTGGAACTGATTTCTGCTCGGTTTTCTTGCTTGACTGTCTTGACATTTCGTTTCGTTTTGCTTGGATGTTTGTAACTTGAGGGCTGGCATCATTTAGGCTGTTTACAGTGGATGGTTGGTGTTCCTCTACGAACACTCCGCCAGTTCTCTGCATGCTTCAACCTCCTATGACCAGGAATCTGTTTTCCATGCATCCCGACTCGGTGCACGAGCGGGTCTTCTTCTGGCCGGTCACCCCGACTCTCGCTCTTTGCATGTGAACGAGAAGCCAAACAGGTGATAGGATGCGTAAAATACATCAGATTCAGGGTGGCGGGTAAACCATACAGTAGGTGTGTACTGAAATAGGGAGACCTCCGAAGCAACGACCCCCGTTCGGGAGTTTCCGGAGCATAGACCAGTCTACTCCAGTCTACCCATTGGGCCAGTCTTCACCGACGAATGAAATTCGGCCGACAAGCATGACCTGCTGAAGAATCATTCAATGCATCGAACACACAGTTTCGAGGGTGCGATGCCCATTTCGCGCGGAATTTCTTCCAACCCTAAGAATCCTTGGGCTCTCCATGGCAGGGGTCGGACCCTCCATAGCAGGGGTCCGGGCCCGAACCAAACCCTATGTGTTTGAGGATCCGGATTCTTAGGGAAAGCACTAAAAAAGTGCTTCACCATTTCACCACCGCACGGATTTGAACGCAAACGTCTGACCTGAGGTGTCTCACCTACCAAACGAATTCGGCCCTGTCCTTCACCGCCTCGAAGGCAAAAACCGGTTCAAATAGAACCGGGTTCCCTTCTGTTCGACCATTCAAAGAAAGGTTGCTGGTTTTGTAGTGTAAAACCCTTATGATAAATGGACAATGGCTGTCATGGCTGTTGGGTAAAACGTTAAATCAATGGTGCTTGGAATCCTCGAGAAAAGGGGGGCTCCAGCAAGAACGCCGGCACCGACGCTGGCGAGGTGCCGGAGATCGCGGATTTGCACTTGGAGCCCTCGCTTTTCCCGGCGATCTTGGGCTTTTTCACCTACACCGTGGGGAAGGCAGAACCTTTTGAACCGTTTGCGGGAGGAGCGCGAGAGGCCGGTGGACCAAATCGTTGGGTTTGTGGATGTTTGTGGTGCCGGTCTGTTGGTCCCGGGCGCGCACGACGGCGTGGGTGGGGCTGGTGGAATGAGGAACAGACAATCTGTGTTAGCGGTACTCGTAGCAGTTGGCCTTTCTGTTGCTTTTGGTGCTGGCGTGTCCTGGTAGCGATGGAAGTCGCACATCATTGGAATATGGCCATGGTGTGGGATTGTGTGTGATAAAAACCTGTTGTGCAATATCTTGGAGGAGTTGTAAACATCATACAGCAAATATATAGTTTTTAAGTCTCAAAGTGACATCTATATATATATATACACTAGATTTCAGTTTGTTCGACGCCGTCCCTAGCTCAAATATCTAACCTAGAATCCGCCGCTCGGAAGACTGAGCCAAGCGCACCTTGGGTGAGCTCCGATGTCCCTGCTAAGCAGCGCACACCTGAAGCAGTGATTCTCTTGAGATTGGACCTGATTCTTTTTAATTCTTGCTTTTCGGTGAAATCAGGAGCCTTCCGGAACTGCTTTCGATAAACGGATTGTTCGAAAGAAGAAGGGCACTGGACCGTCAGTGCTTACAACAGATGTGATCAGCCTGAGGCAACGATCCAAACGATCCAAAAGGCGGACGTGAAACGATGTGACGCAGAGACATGTTGAGAACATGGCTGACTGTGACACTGATCAATAAGGCCAACCTCTTGACGATGTTCTCTTCTTGGCTTTTTCTTTAGCTATAGCCCGGTAGCTGTATGCGGTAGCAGGGGTTCTCTTACTTCTGGATGACTGGGTGATTTTGGTGCAACACCATCATCTCTGGGTTAAAACATGTTAAAACCATCGCTTGTAGCCTTTCTTGTTGAACTGCCAGGTCTTAGCAGGGCTTTTGAAGTGAAGGCCGGGCATCCCAGCTGGCACGCACGGACCAGGGATCTCCTTTGCCCTACTTCCGACGCTGATAGATCTGATGAAACAAGACCATCTCCAAGTACATCCAGTGGGGTCCCCCTGCGGGTCAGAGGTGTTTCCAGACTTTTCCTGTTAGGTGGGATCCGTGATCTCGGGATATCTCGGCGGGGGAAAAGTAGGTGAGGTCACGATCACAAAGAGTGGTGTCTCTCAGTCCTTCACTTGGCGGTTGTTGCAGGGTAATCGAAATCGACGCAGACGCAGGGTCCACTAGTTGCTGGTGAGAATGTTGCCTCCACAACTTCCCGAAGAAGGAGTAACATAGTAAGACATCAAGATCTCTAGCATCTATACTACTCACCAGTGACTTAGGATGCTCAAAGTCCTAACTCACCAGTATGGCAGTACAACCTCTTCATACAGAATTTCGCTGGAGCTCCACACTGGAGCTGCCGCTCAGATCTGGACGTCCAAGGTGACATCCGATGAGGCTGACGCCGAAACCGTCTCACCGCGCTCGACAGATTGCGCATCCTTTGGATCGCGCATCCTTCGAACGGAAACACGCGCAACAAAAAGAGCGTCTTCCGCATCCTTCGCGGCGCCGAGGGAAGGGATGAGTAGGCGTGGGCTTGCTTTCCGATGCCGTGAGCCCCAACAAAAGCTTTTGCAGTGATGTTTGGGGCGCTTCTTTTTCAACGGGGTGCTTTTGGGGTGTTTATGTAAATGCTTTTTATTGTTTGGGGCGCTTCTTTTTCAATGCTTACACTGAAAGACTCCCTGAAATCATCCATGGGCCAACGTGGAAAGCATGGTACTCCACGAGGACTTGGATGACCATGAGAGTTCCGAAGACCAAACATGGTGGTTCAATCCGGTTCAATCGACTTCCGTCTTGTACAACAAGAGTCTTGTGCCACCCACTTCCTTGCAACATGCCTTTTTGAGTCTTTATATATACGGCATTTGTTGTGTCGTACCGTCGTTTCTTTGCCTTAGGGATCCGCATACCCCTTCTCGAAGGTGGTTGGGGGATGAAAGAGAGTGTGGAGGGTCCAACGGCCTCAGAGGCTATGTGGTGAAATATCCCTCTGGGTTTGTTCGATCCTGTGACGAGGGACACATGACTCCCTATATAACAATCCATGCGGAGATATGGAGAGTTCCATGGGGCTGCAGTATAATGGACTATTTGCCCTCCGGATGGGTGGTTTGTTTCAGATGTCTTAAGGGATCAATGTAAACACATGGCAGGAAAACATGTGCATCGTTGGTTCCAGTCCCATCTGTTGTTGGGGCATGGTGCACCGAACAGAACAGCGCCGGTACAGCCGGAACAGCCGAAAAGACTGGGACACCCAACTCACCGACGTGAGTCAGGTCATGGCATCCGTGTCAAAGGACCCCATCACAACGGGTGAAGTCTTTGACAAGATTTCTGCTGGCAGAACCCCCAAACGACCAGAAACAAAGGGTTGGAACCCAATATGGCTCCGGTTTGAGATCCTTTGAATAAACAAGTAGTTGGGACTGTGAAGACATCCAGGTGGGTTTCCAGGTGGGTACCATACAGGCTGTTGCATGCTGGTGCATCTAGCATGGTGTTCAACCCTCCAGGCACTTTGGCTCAAACGAGGGTGCGTTGAAACGCATTCCTCGGGGAGGGCCGCGATGTCTGTAATGAAGTTTGCGAGGGGCTGAGCGATGTCCTTTTTGGATGGCAACAAAAAACATGTTCCCTTTTTTTGAGAGTAGTAGATGGCACAACCCCCAAGATGTCCTAGACAGATTGGGGGTCCATGTAAACCACCGACATTGGGATTTGTGCCATCTACTCGGACCGGTAACACTCAGTCCTCAGATGGTCAGGAGGTACTAGGTTGAGTGGCTTCAGAATAGTAGGGAGCTGTCTTTAAACCACATGTTTTAAGTGTTGGATAACATGTCAATCATGAAGCCTCATCCAATCAGTATGATTATAGCTTTGAAACATTTAGAAACCAATGCTATTTTGCCATTTGCGGACGTCTAAAGCTCTGCTTGTGACACGCCACGTGTTTGAAACCATTGTAGAACATGCATCCCAGATACACTGTATTTTTTTTTGCTCGCAACTGCCAGCACTCTACATAGGTTCTTCATTTTCATGGAGTTCGTCTCGAGTGGTTGAAAGAAAGCTTCCAGAAGGGGGCAAGGGGAATGCGTGACAATTGCTGACTGGTGCTTATTGTATGATATTGTATGATATATTAGTAAATGACCTCCCAACAGAGATTCCTTAGCGTTCATTCCTTCATTGACTCATTCCTTGCGAGTCGCACCAGTCAGATTGTCCCAATTATATAGTGTTTATATATAATAACCGCAGGCAAAGCCATCAAAATTCTTCAAATTGTCACCAACAGCTCTTCATCCTTGAAAATTCTGTTGCTTTGCAGAAAACCTGAGGTTTTCCTGCTCTGGGGCGCCTCTTTGGCGTCCGGCTTCAGTGCTACCCCTGTGTCCGCGTGCCCAGTGGAAACCACCCCCGTGGCGGAGACCTCGTAGGGTTTGGGGACGGTTGCCCGGTTTGGTTTGGGAAAGGATGAGGTTCAACGTTGTCCTACTCGTTTTGCTTGAGGCCCAGCAAATCTGATTCCTGAACAAACACTTGCTCAGTCTGAAAATATAAACAGAATGCTTCTATGCTGTGTGTGTGAATTATGTTTTCATCTTCCAACAGCCACTCCATACACTTCCTGAAATCACGACTGAAAACCGCGGACCCGGAGGACTCGGATGACCATGAGAGTTCCGAAGACTTAAAGAGGTGGTTTTCACTCACTCCACTTCAACCATGATTCTCGTCAAGGAGTGTACAATAACTCGACCCCTTTTTCCCAGCATAGATGGCCTTCTACCGTCGGTTGATCAATAGAGGGGACACGACCGGGGTGTCCACCTCCAGTCGTGAACAACCAAAAAGCTACGTGGCATACCTGGCATCAAAACCCCTCATCCGGACGTGCCAGACGTCGTACGGAACGTTCCGAAAAAGCCGACGACTCGCGTGTGTGTGCCGTCAAACAGCTGGCCATGCCGTCCCGAGGGGGAAGGTCGTGGAGATGCTGCAAGACATGAAGTCCGAGGGCGAGAAGGAGAAGAAACGGATCGGACCGAACGGATTGACGGTGACGGCGTTCGATGGAACGGGCGAGGATCGGATCGGACGGGTCAGAAGAACCGTCCGGACGTGGATCAGTCAGATGTGAAAAGAGGTGCACGAAGAGAGTGTGAATTCGTCAGACGTGTTTGGGAGTTATATGGGTTTATGAGGTACGTAGAGGATGCCAGTGTTGGAGATGGCATGGGGTGGATCACAAACTAAAGAGTTAACGGCTTGGCTGCTTGTATTGATAGAGTAGCCATAACATAATCACGAAAGCTAGCGAAGCTAGCTGGAGTTACTCTTGCGATAGCAAGGTTTCTTTCGATCGGGTGCAAATCCTAACCCCTGATTTTTCAGGTCGAAGCCCCCCCCCC